GCTCTTGAATCGAAGAAGACTCTTGGTGGATAAGGTGAAGAGAATGTCTGTGAGTAAATCGTTTGGAAAATCATCCTTCGCCATTGTTTCTTTGATCATCTTTGTCTCTTTGAATTCACTAAGGGGTATTATATTGTTAGATGGACGGGTCCAAGGATTTAATTAAGTCCTAACTCGCAAGGATGTAGGATTTCATGCCGCCTTCTGCTTCTCCCTTGCCTCCTCTGTTTTCATGGTCACGAACTCCGGCGGCTCCGATTCCCCTCATTGGTACGATTTTGCAGCTTTCAGGTGCGTTTTAACTTAAGCACTAGATCTCTTGATTGCGATTTGCTTCTGGGTTAAATTTCATTTTCGTCCTCAATTGTAATCCCCGCAGATTCGTTCTCGCTGCAAACTCAATAGTGGCGCTGTACTCCCTCTTCGAAATGGCCGCCTCCGTCTGGGAGATCTCCCGCGGAGATACTCTCTTCCCCGAAAGCCTCCAGGTCTGGTTCGACTTCTGCCATGACCAGGTCCGGTCCCTGTCGCAGCCACCGTACTGTTTCCTCTTCCGTCTCTCATATTCTATGCGAAATTTGAACCGAGCTTTGTTCTTGTAGGTGTTTGCTTACCTTTTGATATCGGCGGCGTCGGCTGGAACAGAGCTGGCGAGGACGCTGAAGGGGAAGGAGACATGTACTGCGACGAACGCATTCTGCAATTATAGCATTATAACATGCAGTATAGCAAAGAATCCATAGCTAAAAATTTACCAAAAAAAGGAGAAAAGAACACAGAAATTGGGACTGGGTTCTGCGAGGAACCCAGATTTGGGACTGGGTTCACGAAACCCAGTAGCTGGGTTTCATGAACCCAGGTCTTGGGTTCCTCATGGAACCCCCTTGCTGGGTTCGCGGAGGAAGAAGGTTGGGAAAGAGGAAGGGGCGGAGGGATAAGAGAGAAGAAGGGAGGAAGAAGAAGAAGAATATAATAATAATGAATTATGTGAGTTTTTATTTAAATATGAAAAAAATATCACATAAAAAAATGCTGTTTTAGTCCACATCATCAATTTTTTCCATGTGGCATTCTATTGATTAGCGTGTAATAACACGTCAACAATAAAAAATAAAAAAGGCAAAATATTTAACAGTTTAAGTGCCACTCTGTCATTTAACTGACGGAAGGATCAAAAAGGGGCCGGATTTTGAAATTTAGGGACTAAAAAGGGGATTTTCTCGGTATAGGGATTAAAAAGGGGCTTTTTCCTATAGTAGAGGGACCAAAAAGGGTATTTAACCATCTTTTTAGTATGTAAAAAAGATTAAATTATAAAATTTTAATTAAAAGCACAAATAATTTTATTATACAACTATATAGTTGATGATAATGTTCTTATCTAGATTGATTTTGTCAAATATCAGTCTGGTATTTAAGCGAAATGTTAAAAAAATTGGCAAGTTGTTGAGAACTGTATACTGATATTGAGATTCTAGCATACATGTTATATTAATTTTGATTTTTTTTCAAAAAATTATAATTACAGTGTTTCCTTATCCTCAAAATTAGGATTGCCAATTGATTTGTTATGAGTTTGGGAAGAATCTGTCACAGAAGCTACATCTAATCCTTCTAGCTGCATCTCAATAGAACTGCTCGTAGTCCTTTTCAGCTTTGCACATACCAATCCATTATACTTAGATGTATTCCAGAGTGTGGCACGTTTTGAAGCAGAAGTGGTTGCGATGACTGCTGCTCTACTAGGCAGTAAACAAAAGGGTTCCGGAGGACAGGTTTGTGGAAACATGATTTCTGGGGGTACCAAAAGCATGCTATTAGTTGTAAAAACATCCCCTGACCATATGAGAGACAAGAAGGGAATTAAAAACCCAGAATGTATGTAATTCAGTAATTCCCATTTTTTACATAAACTTTTGCTAACTCTGACAATTGTTTGTAGGTTAAATACCAATTTGATCCCCCAATCTTCATTTTTGAACCGGAACTATATCTAAATTTTCAAAAATACAAAAGATATCCTCAAACTTCAATTTTAGGACCAATTTAGTCCTTTTGTTGATGAAAATGACACATGACATGTTTAGTTGCCAGAAAACATGTCTTTTTATTAAAAAAATTAATGATGTAGAAAAAAGATAGGCATAACTGATGAGGTGACATTTTTTTCTTTCCACATTGAATTTTGCTTTTACAAATGCCAATTCAAACCAAGCCAAGAAAAAAAAAAAAAAAAGGAAAAAACTTCATTTTCCCTTGCCTCCTTCTAGATCTGTTGAATTCTCCCAACTTCTGAATCTGTCATCATGTTTATACCACAACGAGCGAATTTTATGATGATCGCACGTCTTCTAATGAAGATGTAATTGCCATGGATTTTCCAAGTAATTGGGAATTAATGGCCATGTTTTGATAATAAATTTAGGTGATGCCATTAGGGGTGAGCATGGGTAGGTATGGGTTAAGTATTTACTCATACTTGTATTTAACATGAATACTCACATGTATAAGATTTTAATACCCAATACGTATCTGAATATTAAAAATTTATATTTGTTACCTAACTTGCTCGGTACAAGTATACCTACATGTATACTTATATATTGATTAAATTTTACATTGAAAATACATAAGTTAATAAATAACTATAAGTTCATATATATAATACAAGTTTATATATAAAATAAAATACGTGAGTATATACATTTACACATACATAAGTTTATATATACAATAACAAAAAAATAAAAACAAAAATCCACATAATTTTTCTTCAATTGAATCTTCACTGCCAGAAGAGAAGGAAAAAAAAATAAACATTTTAATTTTATAATATTATATTACAAATTATGCATATAAAACTAAAATATAAATTAGGTATATAGGTCAAATATATAGGTTATGTACGTAGGTATTAACCTTTATATCCAATACTTACTTGATACTTAATAAATATGTATTTTTTCTACCCAATATTTAATTATCTTTTTATACATACAAATGAAATACCTACCCAAAAAGTCGAGATCTTCGGATATCATATATACCCATATCCAATGCTCAGCCCTAGATGCCACATGGAAAAGACGATGATTTTGATCGGCTTGGATTTGAAGGAGTCTAAATAGATTTTGGACTTAACAAGGAGCTGGGCCTGTGAG